TATTCAGATTCTACAATGTAAATTTAATGAGACAGGAATCCAATCATTTTACAGGCACAAATACAGAGATGTATATTAATATGTCCGGGTTTTTTAGTTCTGTAAATTTATTAAGGAAATATCTGGTTTTATATTTCAATTCTGAATGCTTCAGCTTCCAAGTAACCAGTTCCTGAATGCTGGCTAGAGATGGTTTTGCTTGTGAAATTCAATAAGCTAGATACTCGTGGGAAAAAAAAAAAAATCAGCAAGGATTTTGACATCCATAATGAAGTGTAAACTTTATTACTGATCCGATCCTGGCTTTTATACAATGGTTAACTTCACTGGTCTAATGACAGCCATCTCTCTGAATGCACACATACAAATTCTACTGTGGTTCGAGTCAGCAGATGGGCTGTGGATACAGATAAACCAAGACTGTAAATTATGTTTTGCCTGTTTGTTCCTTCTGTTCTGAAAGACAGGGCATGAAAGGAGGAGACTGCATTGCTCACTGAGAGAAGGCAGTAGATATACCATGTCCCCCTTACCTGTTCCAATAGGCTGGGTGTTTATTTTTGGGGATTGCTATGAACAGAGGCTCTGTTAACCTGGACTTTCCCCAAAACTAACTTCCTATAAACTTTGTGAAGCTTTATAAATTGAGCTTTCACTCTGTAAAAGTTTTGCCTTCCTTTTGGATCTCTGTTTCCAATTTACCTTCCTCACCATCTCTCTCAACCAGGGTGCTGGTTGTTGTCTCTCTGCCCTTTGTCCTTCCCCTTGCCTCTTTCAAAGTTATTTTTTCGTTCCTCTCTGTGCTTGTCTGTTACTCTCCTTTGCTTTTTTCCCCCTCACAGATTTTGCCTCCCCTGTCAGCCTTCTGCTCCTCAGATTTTTTTCCAAATGTTTCTCTCAGTTTTCCCATTTGGTTCCTTAGTCCTTCCACACGTGTGTATTTCCTAGCTCCCATTCTGCTTTCCTCATTCCCCTTCCAGGTTTTACTCTGTCTGATTTCTGTGTTTATCTTTTTTATTTTCTCCCTGCTTTTCTCAATTCAGATTGGTTGAAAATATTGCAGGAAAAGCTGCTCTTGTGAAATTTCATCCAGATTGCTCTCGGAGCAGCTGCTGTCCTAGCACTTCCAACACTGAATCAAACCTGAGCCTAGGGGATAGGAGGTCCTTAAAGGATCAAAGCTCAGCTTCAGAATACTAACCAAAACATTGGCAAGCAGAATATGAATCTAAAACCACAGCTGATAGCAACTGAAACCTCTTCCTACAGTTTTGACATGATCTCATATTTTAAGGGAGGGTGGCTGGTTTTGGATTTTGGTTGCTTTATTTTTTTCTTTCTTGAAAGAAGGGATTTCCCTCTCCCCTCATTTGGCATTCTTGTGACTCCAAAGCAGGGAACAAACATCATATATCTAGAGAAGGCCCTAGGGCCCCTAAAATTTTCAGTACGTTTTCACTTTTTTTCTTACTATATAAGCTCACATCAATACTAAGTTTTGAAAAGCTATCACAAGAAAACTCTGCATCAATAAACTTCCTACTCTTACTGAGGCAGTAGATTACTTAAAGTAATCAGAAATGCTGAAAAACAACTGAGGGATTTTTCTGACCTGAAAAAAAGCTCTTCAGGAACTTCTAATTAATAGAAACATTTTCATATAACTTATAAAGTTGAAATATTTAAAGAAACAAATTTTTAAAATAAATTACTCCTGCCCTTAGGAGTTTTAACTTAATTCTCATATATGCAAATGTGAAAGCAAAATTTACTTGCAACACAATGAAAATTGCTGAGTTACCATTTCTATCAGCTACGAACACTGGGAACTCTTCTTTTTAGCACATATTATCTTAAATGGCATTTATGGTACAGTTACTTGCTTCTGAAAAAGTAGCCCTTTGTATTTAAATCCTGTATGACTGTAGCACTGAACCAGAGAAGCTACCTGAGTTAACTTATTTGATTATTCACAGAAGAAACCACCCAGATACCTAAAGCTCAATCAGCAAATGGTTTTTCCATAACTCTGTATGTGAAAAAGCTGTAAGTACTGTTACCTTTGGATTGCGTTTAATGTTCAGAAACCAAACAATACCCTGTTCTGCTTCTGATTTTTATTTCAGTTGTTTGGCATTTAAATCTTAATTTAAACACAATAATAATGAAATCTACATCCAATGTCTTGATTTCATCTGTAAAGCCATCTAGACGGCCACACAACTGTAGTAGTTTTTTTCTTAAAGGTTCTGTATTGGGAATGCTTCAGACATGCTTTGCCTGGGTCTTCTGTGGGGCAAAGCCTTAATTAAAAGAGCATAGTATTTGAATGTGATTTTGCACTGTTGAAAAAAAACAACAAAAGAGACACAGATCAAACTATAATTTCATAAATGGTAGTTGGAAATATTTTATTAAAGATCTGTGGACTTGCAAGACAAATTACAAAATATCTGAAAAAAATATTCATAATGGAGTAAGGCTTGATGTATGTATTTTAAAACTATGAACCGATAGGCAACATTCTGTCTTCAAAGAAAAGTTTGAAACTCATGGTCAATTAATACAGTATTTCATAAGATGTTTGTCTTTCCAGGTTGCATCAGTTACATAACAGTGAATAAACCATGAATAAAATACAGCTCAGCAATCATCTGGTCTTTTGTTCGAGATATGCAAACATTTGATTACTGGCATGGCTAGCAATCCTATAGAAATACTCATGCAAGCAATAAGTTTGGTTCAGGCAGAAGGGATTTGACTTCTAGCTTATATCCAGTGGTGTATAGGTTGTCCATATCTCTTGGTTTACTTTCAAAGGTGTTTCCAGACTTTATCCTCTATTCTACCTACTCTGGTGGTCTATATTAGACTGCAGTTACATCTTAAGTTATAGATCTTAAAAACAGTGTGAACAAGGTCTTAATGTCGTTAGAGATTGCAGAACCAAAACACTTAAAGGCATCAAAACCCTTATAAGCTACCATTCCTTGCTTTGCTCAGTGAAAAATCAGCTCATCACTTTGCAGTGAGGGTATCTGGTACCTCCCCAGCAAATACTCCTCAATGCTTCTGTTGCTGAATTCCTCACAAGACCTTCAAATGAACACCCATTCTCATTATGATTTCTTCTGGTTGGCTGAAATGCTTTAGCTTTGACCATTTATGATTCTGTTTACTCTTTTGGGGATAACTTACCTGAATTCAAAACCTAAGATGTGTCAGTGCAGGTGCTTTTACATGAAGGTGGCTGCCTTAATGACTGCATTGAAAAGAAATATATTATCATGATACTCTTTAGAGAAAAAAAGGTAAAGATGGACTCTGTATATTTCATTTTTTAATGAATCCTACTGAAAAACCCTGATATTAGCTCAGTTGGTTAGAGCATGGTGCTAACAACACCAAGGTTGTGGGTTTGATCCCCATATGGACATTCACTTACGAGTTGTACTCGATGATCCTTGTCGTCCCTTCCAACTCAGAATGTTCTGTGATATAAATCCTACCCTTTACCATTTCAGTCTTTTAAATTTCTCTGCAGAGAAATTTGTCTTAAATTTAACAGAGATTAAAATTAAGAATTTTTTTTCCCATGGATAAACTGAAGGGGAAGGAATATATTGGTTTGTACTGATTAATTTTATTCTAATTTTTAATACATTGCTTACAGGTGCAGCAAAAAAAGTATTTTGTCAGTAGAATGCTCTCTATGAAACCATAAATAAAACCATATTTTCTCCAATCAGCTTTCTGGTATACTTATCTACCAGGGGAAGACCAGGTGCCATCCTTGCAGCACGATTAGGAGGTTTGGAGCCTTGGTGTAAGTCCCAGATGTGAAAGCTGTCCCTGCAAGGCAGACATAGGCTCAGTGCACATCCCCTTCTAATCCCAGAGCTCCATGCAGTGTGGGCAGAAGGACTTCTCCTTTTCCTGGGCTTCAGAAGACAGTCAGTAATGGTCGGGTGGCATGACAAAGACAACGACACTCCATGGATTGGTAAAAAGGTACAAAGAAGGCTTTTGTGAACATTTTAACTATGTTGTTGGGTTTTCCCTCCTTTCCTCCTGAGGAGGTAATACAGGGGTTAAGGCAGCAGTTGCAGACTGTCCCCATACTTTAACTATGTAAGGAAAGGAGTAAACCAAAGTTATAGGAACTAGTTAAATAGTCCTGAAGTAACACCTGCTCCAGGCTGTGTTCAAGAATAGGTGTACTTGGTTAGTAGGACATTAATCCTACAGTTTCCTGTCTGAGTGAACTTCTGAGACCTATAACATTCTGCTGAGAGCCCTGAAACTTGTCATGACATTCTGCCCATATGGAAAAAATTAGCAGCTGATTTTCTTTAACTGTGATTAAAGCAATGTTTGTTGAGAACTGTTCGTTGAAGTAGTATTTTAAAAGAAAATCACCAAAACCAAACTTTCTCCCAAACATTTCCCAGAAATGCCAGCTGCCTGGTGGCCTGTGTATTCGCTAATGGTGTAACCCAGACATGGTCACTCCATTCAGAGATGGATGTTTCTGCAGTTGGGATCCTGGCTATGAGGGACAGGTCTGTCTCACTTTTGGTGGAAAGCTTCAAAAAACTGACTTTTCTTCTCAATATATCTCTGAAAGTACTGAAATTTCCTATTGAAGGGTATCTCTTGCTGTTTTCAGGCTAGTCCTGTGTTTTAAGTCTAGATTTTCTTCTGAACCTGAAATTCAGATAAAATTTCTAAACTTGTTTGTTACTGTGTTCTTAAAAAAATGTAGGCTGATTTCAGGGACATTTCTACTGATAACTTTGTTCAAGAAGGACTTATAGTTCTGAGAAGTCTTCTTACAACAGTTCTTTGGCAGACTCTCTGCATCTTTGGGTTTTAACTTTGAAATTGTCAGGAGAGGCTTTTTTGTCCTGTTTCCAAGCAAAATGAGACCTGCATGGCTGGGCTGCTTTTCTTTGCTTCTCTTTTTCAGTGCCTTCCTCAAATAATTGCTGAGCCAGTTGATCAATTTCAATCAAATGTGACAGAAGGAGAGAGCTGTGAGACATGAAGTTTAGGAAGAAAACAGGTACTTCAGTATGTCCAATAGTCCTAGATTAGTGCTTTTATCAGGGAACAGTGATCCAAAAGCCAGGAGCCAGCTCACCAGTCATCTCCTAGACTTTCACCACTCTCAGCAGAGGCTGTTATCTGTCCCAGTGGAGGGGTTCTTGAGGGATGCTTTTGGAACTGGCACCTCAAGGACACCAGAGGCCCCAGAGGACAATGGCACAGTGAGGTGTTTGTCAGGGGGTTTACAGTGAGATATTGCTCAGGAGCAGCTTGTTAGCTTGTGCTCAGCTCTCTGCAGTGTGATAGCAGCTGTGTAATATACTTGACAAGAGGACCAAAGAATATACCTACCTTGGGGTGGCTAAGTTAGCCAGAACTGACAATGAAATGTTAAATAATTAAATTGTTTTAGCTATTACTTGTAAGTGAATGCTGTTTTTAATTGCACTTTAATAATGCCATGCCCTTTATAACCAAAATTAATGTTTTCTGTCTCTCTGTTTTTGAAGTACATGTCAGTTTAATTAAACTATTAATGGTAGACAGATTTTTAAGTACTTTATATTCTTCATTAAATTGTGTCTGTTCAACAAGCATAAACAGGAAAATAGACTCAGTTAGAAGCAGATTCACGTTCTGCCTGATAAATCATTCATCATCAGATAAGATGATGAGGCATGCTTGTTTTTCTGTAGGCTCACAATGATAAACAAATCCACTTTTATATTGTAATATTTATTGAGTTCATAGAAAAATAAACAGGACTGTTCACTTTTCATATCAACAACAGGCCTGAAAGCTGCTGTTTGCATTTATGACTGGTCAGTCAAGCAATATCCTGATGCTCTGAGGTTCAATCTTAGTTCATTTTGTCTGAGGTGCTTGTTAGCAGAGCATTTCTCTGGTCTAAGATATAGTTCTTTCAGGGCCATTCAACGGCAGTAATAATGAATATTTCTACTGTTCCTGCTGTGTTACCCTATTGTGTCTGGAAAGAATTAAAATATCTTTTGATTTGGCAGAAATGATATATTTATAATGCAAATATTGAGTAAGTCTCAGCCCTTGTAGGATCCATTGCAGGAAGGCTGATGAAAACAATTTTTTTAAGGCTGTACAAGACAAAATTATGGCAAAGTCATTTCTTATCCTTTGGTAAAGTCTGCAAATCCTAGTGGGCTGTTAATGGGCTAACAGGCTGAAATTAGGAAACACTGCAGCAACTGCTTGTGATACATTCCTGTGCATATTATACAGGCAGACTAAGATGTAACTGGTTATAATAGAGACAACAAATGTCCTTCCTTTGTGTGGCAGATCAATCAATAGCCAGGCATGTGATCTTGTTCACTATTATGTTAGTAATGAAACCTTCTTGTGATGTGACAACTGTGGAATAACATTTGGTCACAAAGCTGGTGTTAACAAGCACAACTGGCACTCTGGTAATTAGACTGATTTCTGGTCTACTTTCACAGATTGTCGATAAATGCAGTAAACAACAGGCTGCTTTCTTTCAGAAGAAGTTATATGAAGTTGTCATGCATTTGATGGTATGTACTGTACTTTCCTTCATCTTTTATCAGATTCTGGCAAGGTGGAGATTTACAATATATTTCTTCATAAAATAATGTTTCACAGTAGAAACTTTGTGTGCATTGTTCGACGATCACCTAATTAACCTCAGCCTTTTTTTCCCTTGGGAAGAATATTAATTTCTCAGTTACAGGTATAGACAGTTAGATGGAGATGTTCTTCCTCAAATTTTCAATGCTCTCCCCTCTGATAAAGCTGTGTTTGCTGTGTGCAGCCATTAATATTGTTTAAGAATAAACTGAAATCTTAAAAGCCATTGGCTTGATTTAAAGGCCAAGAATATAGATCACATAAAATTGTAGTATAATTTGTTACATTAAACAAAATAGCTAAATTCAGCCACAGATGTGCTAACCAGCTATTCCATCACCAATTTAGGACTGTTATGTCAAACCTCATAACCTCATTTGCTGTGGTTTGCTCTTTCCGTAGACCTGCAGTAGTGGAAGGCTGAACTGTTGTTTGGTATTTTGACCTTCATGGCAGAGTAAGGAGGAGTGAGAGCTCCTTGTACCTCCTCCAAGCCTACAGCCTGGCTCTGCACATAGGAAAATGAATGAGTGCTGTTATTCTGCCTCCTTCACTTCCAAAGCAGAAGAATGGAGTCAATTGAGATATGTCTGGGTACTGCTCAGTTTATTTTGCATTGGCTGCATGGCAAAGCTTAAGCTGGAGGCACTGTAACATGGACAGTACAAACCAGAAGGAGTTTCTATGCTTGCTCCCCTTTCACAAGGTACATTCAGAAACTGGAAACAGTGTGTAGGGGACAGCAAATAGGGACAGTGCTGTGCCATGACTGGACACTTTTCTACCTGTCACTTTGCCCAGATCTGCTAAGACCAGATCCATGCTGATTTCAAGAATCCTTACTGGTATGATTTGACTGAGAAGGGTTTTTTTCTTGTGCTGGGCCATGTATTGACCACTTATCATAACTAAACTCACTTTGAAAGATTGAGAGAGCAGTGAGCATCTCTTCATGGCCATTATCAATGTTTGGCAGATTCTAATTCCCGTTGCAATCGATGAAAAGCAGTAGGAAAGAGTGTTTTACAGTAGGTACCTAATTTTATGCAGGATTAAAGCAGGAAGATGCCTCGTTAGTAATCAGTGAACATAAAAAAACTATATTCACACTCAAAGTAGGGAGAGACTTTGGACAAGTTCACTGAGCCATAGGTATCAAGAAGTTAGAGGATATAAATAGCAGTGAATGCAGAATGCTAATCTCAATGGCTGGAAACAAATATCAGAGGTGTCTGCTGCTGCTCCCTTCAGAGCATTCTCTGTTCTGACAGGCCTGAGCTCTGCCTACCTGGAAAACCAGTAGGGAGTAATAATCAGTGGGCCACACCAGGCTGGGAATTTTCTCGGTGATGTTTCTTGCACAGGTCCCAAGCAGGCAACAACTCCCTGTGGGTTGGGTCCAGTCAGTGTATCAGGCCTTCCATTCCTCTCAAAGGGAATTTACCAGTGACTACTATTTTCTTTTTTTCTTAATTGAGGAGGTTGTGATGTAGGAGGTAGGCCACCTCGCCCTAGGTGATGCCTCCATCTTGGAAGAACCGTCATCTGTATTCTCCTTTCACTGGTCCTCAGGTTCCACGGCCTCATATGTATTGTAAAAGGACACCTGGAAGGAGAGGTAAGTCAGGACTCCAAGCAGAAACCCATTTCCACTTCACACAGCCCTAGCGTGGTTGGAAAGGGCTAGGTCTGACCTTCTACTGAAAGCAAGATCAGCCATGAGGCCAGACCAGGTTGCTCAGAGTTTCACCTGGCCTGCTCCAAGAATGGAGATGACACAGCCTCTCTGGGATGCTGCTTCACAGCTCTTCCCCTGCCCAGAAATCACACTGAAAGTACAAATGTGTATTTTCAACAGTTTCTTCAGCTGCAACATGATATAATTTGAAATCAGTGCTTCTCAGAGCTTCATGTAGATTTCTATGGCTAAGCCTCACATCTATTCATAAAAGACTCAAATCTGCTGCTGATGCAACACCAAGATTGCATTCACCTGTCAGTGGAGTCCATAAGCAATGGATATTTTTTTGCTGCAGGAAGTCAGAAAATAAAATCTTAGCCGATAGAGGAGATTGGGTTCCAGCACCACTAGCTGCACTAGGTAACAAGAGTGTTCATGTCATTTAAAAAGAGGTGTTTGGTCAAAACATCTGCGAAAGCATCACGTGTTTGGAGAAGGAACCTCTGCACTTTGATGGTAAGTGAAGAAACAAGACAAAGAGATGCTTTGTCATTTGTATAATTTAAGATCTGTTGTTTTGAGGAGGTTTTACCACACAGATTATTTTGTCTGAGGGTGACAACGCAGAGTGTTTCCAGCACGTGGTTGGAAAATCTTAGCCATAGCTGCACGTATTTAGACCCTTTTGGTGCACTGTCTGTACAAAAGGTTTTTGTCAGGAAGAAGCACAGTGTTCTGCCTTCTCAAGTGCATATTTTACATTCAAAAGCGATTTCTTTGGTAAGATTGAATAAATTCTAGTTTACTAGCTTTGATTTTAAAGAAATGTAAGGAAGAGAGTACAAGTTGCCTTGGCATTTTGTGTTTATTTGCCATCAGTTACTTCCATATTAAATTGTTCCATTTACAAGCTAGTATAATTTTTTTCCTAAGTGCCTGCTGCTCCGTCTAGTTGTGGAAAATGAAGCTAAGTTGTTTATGACCTGCTCTGTACTTCATCACTAACCTTCAGCAAATGTACAAGTTCTGGAATGAGAATAAAGCTTCACTGGTGGTAGCACAGCATGAGGCAAAGTATAATGCATATTACTGTGGTGCACCTGTGCTTGGCTTTCCCATGCTTATTGGGATAAAAAGCGCGCTTTATTAGCAGGCAAATAGGTAAAGCTTAAGAGGCCAATCTTCTCTGCTTGGCATATGGGGTTCCCATTAACATTAGTGAGTAAAATGGTTATATTTTGACAAGAGAGCAGACACTTGAGAGAGCAGATAAGTGCAGAAACAAGGTGACATTTTCATAGTCACTTTTCAGACCAAAACTGAACTTTTACAGTGTATAAATGTGAAGATTGTGTAATGTGCTTGCTTTACGTAATAACTATCAAAAATCTAGTGAGGAAGGCGAGGTCTGGTCTTGACATTTAAGAGAACAAAGTGCCGACTCCTCCCCAGCCCATGCTTAGGCCTGTCCTCAGTAAAACACCTCTTTGACACCTTTCCCACACTCCTAATACTTATCTGCTAGTTTTCATCTTCCCTGTGGAAATGACTAATTAAATATTCTTTAAGAAGGAAGCTTTGTCACTATGTAGAGATCTTAACATTTTTTTTGCACCTTTTCACTCTGGTTTTGAAGGCTGTAGTTGCATGCAAGAAGGTTATAGAAGGATGATCACAGGTTTTCTTCTGTCGATGGACAGAGGCTCTTGTACCTCCTTTTGTGTCAGAGCCTATGCAGTCCAGACCTGTTGTCAGGGGAGGTGCACCGCGATGGCTGGAGGGAAAGGATCAGCCGCTCACTGAAATGATACAGGTGGTAAGTGCTTTCCCAGTGTTTAGTTTAAGTAAAGACAATTCTCTTGATGTCTCTCTTCACAGGTAAAACATATCTGTCTTTCCAATTTCTCACTGAAAGTTAGATCCTGAATTTCTAACTTGACTGGATAAGGCAACTAGCCAGAAGAAATGAGGGTTCAGCTGAGCAGGTTTCTGAACTCAGTTTACTGGGGAGCCTCAGGCTTATTCTGGCTTTTCAGGCTGCAGCAGTAGCCAAGAACATTTATTCCCATTTCCACTTGGCAAAGAAGATTTTTTTTTTCTTCTCTTTTCTTTCAGCTATGGGCTCCATTTCAGTTACTTCTTTTCTGTCTTTCCAAAATCCAATTACTGAAAAGCTACTTTTTGGATGCCTTTAGCCAATACCCTGTGTGTCCATTTAAAACAGCTGGACACAGGTGATGTATAACATCTTTCTGGTTAAGTGGCAAAACTGAACCCAACCCAGCTAAACCTGAATCAGAGAGTTTAAGAAGTTTTTTACTAAATTAACTAGAAGTTATTTATATTCTACATCCAAAGAAAAAAAGCTTAAATATTTGATGATTTCCTCCCTCTATTTTTAGTAGGTTTTTTTTTTCCAATCATAATGCATTTTCATTTCATAATGGTAAAGTTATTAAAAAAAATCACTGTGGAATCTCGCTTCTAAAATGCTAAAAACTGTTTCAACATTAAAAAAAAAACACCTCCCTTCTGCTTTTTCAGCCAAAGCTCTGTCCTGTACTGAGCTCAGTAACAGGAATTGTCCCCATTCCCCTGTGGCTCAGTTTGTGAGTGAAGGTAGCCCTGTGGGGTGGAGGAGCTGTGTGGCCATGCCTGGAGACGGTGGTCAGTGCCAGACACTGCTGTAACAGTGTCTGCTCCACAGACTCACTCAATTGATTCCAACAATTTTCCAGGCTCACCTCAATGTGCTGCATTTGTACTTATGAAGCTCCTATGATTATAGTCTAGGCAGGGCATGATTAAAGAAGAAGAGCTTACCTTACTGCTGCCCAGCTAAGTTCCATGAACTTCTTGGTAAATTCAAAACCTGGTTACTTTTACAGTGTTTCAGCTTGGGTCATGGTTTCCTGATACATTTGAGATCATTTGTCACCTGGAAACATTGAGCCAATTTAGTTAATGTTTTAATTTTTGTTGGATTTATAATTGTGGTCATGTGTCAAGAGGTCAGTTTAGACAGCTTGGTAAGCTGGAAAAGCTAGCAACAAATCGAATCAAGTGAATATCCTTTCATTTCAACACCTTTTCCTCTCCTTGTTTCAAGCCCAGGAGGTCTTAAAGTTGATGAGAAGATAAATTCAATTATAGTTAAGGCTAACTTTGGCTCTCAGCTCTCATACTACCTTTCCCCATCTTTGCCATCCATCCTATTGCAATCGTTTAGATTTGCCCCAATAGTAGTTTGCCTATTAGCTTTGCTAATGAATTTACTAGTACAGAAGACCACTTGCAAGGCTGTCCTAAACATAATGAATGTAATTATTTAGCACAGAACCAGGGCAGCATCTTTTTCTCTCTTGACAAGAATAATTCTTTATTCTCTCATTAGCTATGTGCCTTGGTTTCAGTAAACTAGTTATTGACCTGCTCATTTAAGGAGCTTCACTCTAAATGCTTCTTCCCTTATTTAACTCAGACAAGTTCCTCTAATTTCCCCTCGCCATGCAGTGCTAGCCGGTAAAATGTAACCATTGTTCATTTGTTGTGAAGAGAGCTGGAAGACAGGAAGCTATTCTTAGATGGATGCTCAGCCTCCTGAGCTCTGCTTGCTTGTCCCTGGTTATAATGGATACAAAACTGTATGGGGCTTAGTAGACATCGTGTAAACTCTATAGGAAATCTGAGCCAATGAATCATGGAGACAGACCCCCACTGAGCATTGTGTGTCTGAATAGACTGCAAATAGATAGAAAAGCAGCTTAAGCAAGTGGCTTTCATATGACAAGAATGCATAAATTAGAAATGAATTGAGAGTATCTGTTGTTTTAAAGCAG